ATCGTTTATACCGATGATCAATAAGTATTATTATTATTATATCAAATATTAACACATTGAAAAAAAAATCTGAGAATGAAATAATATCTATCACGATATAAGATAACCACAAACGAAGATATGAAGATCGTCTAGTAGAAATGATATTTAATAATCGTTTTGAACGTAATCATATTATCAATGTAATTAAACGTCAATGAGAGATAAGAATATTTTTTTTTCTCAATGGTCGTCAGCAAAAATAGACTTATTTCCAACCAATATTTTCTCCCTTTCTTTCTTTCATTATCTATCTATATATCTTTATCTTTATCTTTCTTTAGATTCTAAATGAGATATAAGGTGTCATTGTGAAACACGCGACGAAGGAACGAACGAGCCCGTGTAAATCGATCCCATCCTTTCGTATCGAAAATCCACGCTTGTATTATTCGCCGCAAAGACCTCCTCACTTATACAAACACACATATATGTATAATACATATGCGAGAATACATACATGTAAGTAGAATACATGGATATACAAGTTGCGTATAAGAAAAGCAACGAGTACACGAGCAAAATGGAGGCAAGAGAAAACTGCTGTGATGTCCGTCCGATGGAGAACAGTGAGAGGGGGGCCCATGGGTTGCAACCAAGAGAAAGAGAAAGAGAGAGAGAGAGTAGAGTAGTGCTTTTCTTGTTGCGTAAACCACTTCGTTTCTCGCGTGACTATCCGACGCGATCGCCTTGATTTTCCACCCCGGGAGGTCTCGCTCGTTATTCTTACTTTTACCCTTTTCAATTCGAATCCATTCTTTCTTTTACGTCCGATGACTTATATACATCAAACAAAACGAATCATCCTTTTGATCTTTCCGATTTAATCTCCTTTTTACTTGTTTTTTTTTTTTTTTTTTTTTTTTTTTATATCGAAACCAAGTGATTCTTCTTCTTATCGAGATTGCGTTATTCTCTACAATATAAAATATTGATACCTAGAAATATATATATATTTCTATACTATATATAATATACTATATTATATACTAATTATATATACTAATTACTGTATATGATAGAAATATTCGTGATATTATTTTTAAATATGAAAATAATACGAAATATTTAACAAAAGAAAAAATTCGAATAAAAAATTATTAGACACAATTTTCGATTAATTTAACAAACAATTCAAATATTATTAAAAAGACAATATCCATTCCGATATATATTCAAATCTTTAAATTAACTAAAAAATATATATTAAATAAAATAAAGTACTAAAACAAATTATATTTAATTGTAAGTCATTTTTCTTAAAAAATAAATCAACGAATGTGTTAATTCAAACGGATCTTCGAAATAACAATAATACTTTTTCCAAAAAAATAAATAAGTATATAAAAATACACACACACACACATATATATATATAAGTACCTAGCTCGAATTTACTATTACACATACACAAACATTATATACACAAAGTTAAGTCACACAAACAGCATATTACCGATTGTGCAAAATCCAGCATCCAAAGTGTCTACATGATAATAATAATAATAATCATAATAATAATAATAATAAGACATACATATATATACACATATATGTACACATATGTATCGAAAATACATAGGTGATCCGCAAAGTTGAGTAGGTAGAATGGAGTTGAGTTGAGACCCAACAACGACGACGACGACGACGGTCTATCGAGGTCGACCGGTTCTCCAGCAGCCGTCAGTCGTTAAGGGACATTGCGACACGCGCGCGAGCACAAATACACACATAGACATACACATATATATATACACATTTATAATATATATATATATATAACGGGAGAAAGAGAAAGAGAGAAATTGAAAGAAGAAAAAAGAGGGTCTTTTCTATCTCCGTGACTCCCGCCATACAACTCTTCCTAATCCCCCCCCCCTTAATCCTCCCTCTTCACTACCGTCTTTCCAGCATGTCTTCGATGTGGTCGTTGACGAGCTCCAAGAGAGAACTCTAGGAATCGCAAATAAATTCTTATTAGTTCGTAGCTCGAATACTCCTTTAAATGCTTAGATGCACGACAATGCGAAAATTTCTTATTTTTGCTTATCTCTTAAAGCAAAAGGCCACGCCTAATCGTTAACCCACATGTTATGTATATATATATATATATATATATATATATTGTTTTTATTTCTTAATAAAAGTCAGATAGATCGAGACGTAATTTATTCGTAATACATATTATGTTTAATGAATTCTTAGAATTTTTTGTTTCGTATTTGTTAAGGAATAAGTCGATTGAATTAAATTGTTAGATATTAGAAATACTTCGATAATTATGAATTATGAATAATATTGATTTTGAATTATTTTATTATGTGAACAATAAATAATAAAATAAAATAATTGAATATTCGTTGTCGTTTTTATTTTTTTTTTATTTTTTTTATTTTGATTTGTTTCAGTTTGAAAATTATCGAAGAAAAAGATCAAAGGTTTTAAATCAATGAAATTAAAGCAATTAGATAAGAAAAATGATAAATGACATTAGAGAGAAAGAGAAAGAGAAAGAGAGTTAAACTTACAAGGAAAATTAATGGAGAGACGAGATGACGTTTTCTTTTATCGTATAAATTATTCATGAAACTTTGTCGGAAGAGAGTATGGTAAGAATAAAATGGAACGATGGTACGATTTGTTCCATCCACACTGACGGATGGATGTTGCATGAATTTGGATTGAGCTATCGAGGGATTCGTCTTAATGGCTTTCTATTTTCGACACCTTACTTTGTAATCGAACGAAGGGAAAGAATAAGAAAATGAAGAAACAGAAGATTTGAGTAAATCGAGCAGGAATGAAATTATACAACGCTGTTAGTAAATGACTGTTCAATTTGATTGATATACGAAGAAGACTGGAAAATAACGCGTTAAATGCACGTGCATAAAATTAGATTGAGTAATAAGTTATGATGTCAGAATTTTTTCACGGTTTATATTTCAATATTTATATATACTCTTGTCATTTTTTTTTTTTTTTTAAATTAACATAATTCAGACTTAATTATTACTTATTAAAACTAGTTAACTTTGAAATATTTTTCTACGTTGAAATTATTTGAAATATTATTACTTGTATTATTCCAAAAACAAAATAAAATATTGGGTTGACAAAAAAAATAATAAAATATTGGGTTTGGTAATTTCAGCTTGCACTAGTAGATAGTGTTATGTTTGTTTCGTTCTTTTTTTTTTGTCGTTAGAATTTTTCAGTTATTTAATTTAAAGTTCATTTTTTGTTATAGAAAGTTAGTAAAATTTTGTTATTTAATTTAAAAAGTTCATTTTTTGTATAGAAACAATAGAGTTTTATTTCACACTAGAAAACCAAAATTACTTTCTTGCCAATCCAATGGATTAATACGTTATATATTTTTGACAAATCATATTCTTTCTATATAACATAATATAATTATTTTTTAAATAGCATATAATAATAATAACACCGAAAATACATTARTACGTTTTTTTGATTTATTACTTCATCGTCCTTATGTCACTTGGCGCGTGGCCTATTAAAAAATTAAAAAATTTCAACAGACTTCAAAAATACGAACAAGTTAAAAACCGAGAAATCTGAATAAATAGAAAATTACGTTTGCCATTTAATTAATCAACATTTAACTAAAGATAACAAACACATTTCTGTATAATTGTCTCTCTCTCTCTCTCTCTCTCTCTAAATACATCAATCTTTCCTTCTCATGACTTAGAAAAAAAAAAAAGAAATTGGAAGAGAAGAGAAGGAGGTAAGGTAAGGTAAGGTAAGGAGCTTAAAATATCTCGCTTGCCATTCGTGAAAGTAACGGAACGGGATAAACGATTTGATAGAATTTTTCTTGAATGCAGGGAACCGGTGGAGAAGCAAGTGGTGCGAGTGAACGAGCGACTCGCAAGAGTTTATGATTTTGCTTAATTAATGATCACTCTCTTTCTACCACTACCACCACCCCCTCCTCTCCCCCTACTCTCTTTCGTTCAATCTTCCCCCACCAATGTTCGAAAGCAAGCTTCAGGACTCGTCGTCGTTACCCCACCACCATTACCACCGCTACCACCACCACCATCACCATCACCAACTACTATGCCGGAGGGCAACCGTTGGTAGCGGCGGCCATTAGCCCGCGCGGATTGCGCAATTTCGGGAAATTGCGATGTAATTCGCGGTTGCGGCCTCGAAAGAACGACTGACTTCTCTCTTCGTGGATTCTACGAAAGGGATTCTCGTTCAACGAGATCTCGACATTTTCCTCCTCCTCCTCCATCTCCCCCTCCATCCACCCCATGCACCTTTTCCTCCTTCTCCTTTCAGTCATTTCTGTTTCGTCCATGCGTCGTAGTCTCGATAATTCGCGGAAGGATTGATCGGTCGATGAGTACTTTTAAGATTATAATCGTTCATCATTGGTCAAAGATGAAACATTAATGACATACCGAATAAATTCGTGGAAAACTTTCATATCTTTCTAAATATTACAATTGAAATATATTTGATATAATTTTAAAGAAATTTGCCTACAAAAATTTTTGGTTTATCGAATTAAACATTTAAATTATCGATTGGTTATTTGTTAAAAATATCCACATGGTTATTTTTTCTTTCGATAAAACAACACATTTATGACACAACAGATTGTGTCTATAAATTCATTGAATTTTTATAAAAAAAGAAAATAAAATAGATAAATATAATAAATATATATAAAATAATAATATTAATAATAAAATAATAATAATAATAAAGCCAATGGGTGTTGATCATGCTAATTCACCCTACACCTTTTTCCCATCACCAGAATTTTCATTAATCTTCGATAATGTGATTAATTATAAAAAAAAAAAATAATAATAAAACTCGAAGAAATAGAAATTAGGAGGAAGCGCGTGATAATTTCTAATATCTGACACGCGCTGATTGGATAGGAAAAAATAAAAAAAGAAATGTGTCTACAATACCGATGCTATTCTGAGTATTGAGATCCCAGTCTTTCATGAGGATTTCTCGGGCAGGTCAGGATGACGGCGACGTGGATGCACCTATAATGCAGACATTTATCGTAGGTATATATAAATCACAAAAATTATAATTATTAATAATAATATTCAATTTACGTGTCGTATAAACACGCAATTTTATATACATTTTAAATAAATAAATATACAAAAAATAAATAAATTCATTTATATTCAAATCGTCAGATTTAATAATATTGTTCAAATGGAAAAACAAAAAACAAGAATGCTATTCATTTATTATATTAAAATATTTTTCATTGATCAATATTCATAATAAAATATTAGTCAATATTCTGAGCATCGATGTGTTATTTAATTTCATTCAAATTACTGACGAATCACTTATGCTGGCCATTTTTATTTGACCAATATGTTGAACAACAACAAAATAAAAATAAAACTAATATATAAGAATACCAAACAAATGGCTTCATTTTCAGTTCATTACGATACAATAACAAACATAAATGAACAATTAGTTATTTTTTGTTTGCTTCGTTATAAAATGTAAATAATTATTATGCAAATGAATAAAATAATAAATCGGTCTAAATATTTCACGTTTAATATAGGTTTGGTCATAACGTAATCGTTAAATATCGTAGCAAGAGCAGAAAGGTTTTTCTTTCGTTTTGTTAGCAAAAGACCGGACGTCCTGAACTTTCACGCGAATACGAGAGTTTCTGTTATGCAGTGAAATCGGCATGTTTTGTGTAAGCATGTGAATGATGACGATAATCTACAAACAAGATTACCTATATATACATATATATGAACAAACGAACGAATAAGATTCTTATTACGATTCTTCTTTCGTGGTTACGCTTGTCGGCGTCTTCGGAAAGCGTGGAGATGACGAGCAAAACGAGGTAACAAGAAAGCCCCCCACCCCACCCCACCCCCCACTTTTTCATTCGATTCTCAATCCTTCCTCCTTTCGATCAAAAATTGCATAATAATTCTTCCTTTAAACAACACATTACTTGGTCTAGTCAATATTTTATTCTATATTTCTAGGCGATACTATTGTGACGTTATTAATTTTCATCCCAATATTACGGACATTTTTATTTAAATAAAGTAAAACAATAAATAATATTTAACAAATATCTATGATATTAATTTTTTTATTTTTTGTTTGTCATGCTTTTACAAAAATTTAATATTACTATTTGTAAAGTATATATATATATATATATAATTTTTACAATACTTTAAGTTATAAAACCATTTTAGATAAAACACGTATTCACACGTATTTTCTATCCTAGGATTTTTATTTATCATCTTATCTCAAATTCATCGTTCAAAATATAAAACAAGTTTATTTTTCCAAATGACAAATCAAACATAAGAAGAAGAAGAAGAAGAAGATCTTTTAATAGAAATAAAAATACATATTGTTCTATGTTAATAAATGTATTTAACAAATCAACGAATATTAACATCGAACACAACTAACAAAAACAATTTTCAAAAAGTGTAAAAGAATTTGTTTAAATCAAATATAATGAACGAAAAGACGTGATATTAAGGGAAAAGAACTTACTACTACTACTCTGCTTAAATTTAGATCTTACGAATGTCCTTCGAATCCGAAAATACAAGTGGAGAGTTTAAGTCCGTGCGTGCTAAGTTCGCAAATCCAGCCACGAGTTCTGTCAGCAGTTAAAACAAAAAAAAAAAACAAAACAAAAAAAAAAGAGAGTAATAAAAGTATAAGAGAGAAGAAAAAAAAGGAGAAAGAAACATCTCTGGATTTATTATCGAACCGATTTATGTTTTATCCCCATCTTCCTTTCTCGAGAATTGAATGATTGAATTACCCGCTAAACCACTGTCTTACTAATACACACGCACACACACACTATCAAAGAACATGGGACGAGTGTCCCTCGTAATCGTCTCGTTGTTACATAAGTTTTAAGATATCGATGTTGTTTTAATCATTTAATATACTCATCATATAATATACAAATTTATGGGAGTGTATGTGTACACACGTGAGTTTATACATGCATGCGAGTTCACGTGTGCATTCGTTTAAATTTTATAAATGAGTGTATGCATATGTGTATATATACGTATATATACGTGTATATACGTATATATAAGTAAATGAATCTATGGTCTTAATCAATCTTCTAATTTTTTTTCAAAGTCATTAAGTCGCAGTTGAAAAAACTTGGGCGTGAATCAATTTTCGTGCTCGTAAATCCAAATTCAGGACGGTTAGTGAACGTGGGACGGGGACACGCTTGAGCGTAGGTGCACAAAAATAGATCGAAATAAAGAAAGAAAAAGAGAACAAGAAAAAGAGAAAGAGAGAGAGAGAGAGAGAGAGAAAGAAAAATCTTCTTAACCATAAAGTGCTTTTGCGTTATGATACACAAAGAGAAAAATTATTATAGGAAATATGTGTTTTTTATTGATTGATTTAATTATTTGAATCGTTTAAAATTGCATAAAAATAATGTAAGAATAATTAGTAAAAAAAAAATTTCCATTAATTTAGAACAAAATACAAATTTTTTTTCTCTACGAGAAAAAAAGTGAATATGGCGAAAATAATAAAAGGAAGGGAGTAGATTGTTGCTGAGGGTAAAATAAAAATAAAAAAAGAAGAAAGTGGGAGCACATGTGCATGACGAAAGCTCGACTTCACTTCGCAACATCGACATAATCTTTTTTCCTTTCTCCGTTCTCCAAAGTCACTCTACCTGCATATCCACACACACACACACACACACACACACACACATAAATATATATATATGTATGTAATGTATATATGAACGTAACGAGTTCTCGATTGCTATTAATGAAATAGGCGAACGAACGAACGAACGAATTAAGGAACAATTTTCTTATGGTGTTTAACTTTCGTATTTTCCTTCCTTATCGATAAAATAAAAAAAAGAAGAAGAAGACTTACAGACTGCACAGATAGAAATAGAAATAAAATTTATAAAAAAAAAAAAAAAAGATAAAATAAAGAAGGAAAAGAACAAATATCCTTGAGATGAAATACACAAGGAACGTAGCATAATGGCTACCCCTCCCCTCATAGCTGCGTCGGAAGAATGCGAGCTCGAAAGGACAAAATTCCTCGTCTTATTTTTTTTTCCTTTTATTTTTATTTATTCTTTGGATTCCTCCTTTTTTTTTTTTTTTTTTTAATTTGTTTATAAAACGATAAGGAATCTCGAGGGTGAATCCTGGCCAAGGTAACATCGTCCTTGCATCTACGAGGACGCGTGCCATCGTAACGACGTTCACGTGTAATTATCATTTATCGAGTAAACTTTTCGATGGAGTTTCGTACTTTCGTTGTTCGACCGTAACAAATTTCTAGGGAGCTAGGGGAAAATCTATATATATTCGTGAACTTTATTTTAATCGTTTCTAAATGTTACAGCATATAATAATAATTGGTCGAATTTAAAGTTCATATTCCGTTATATTATTGAATCAAATATGTATAGGTATAGGTGTTTGTTACAAATTCTTCATTGATAAAATTATAATTTAAAAAGATAAACAAACAAACAAACAATATAAATACATTTTAATATTCCCTATTAGCACAAAATATTGAATACATGTGTATTTAATATTAAAAAGATATTTAATGTCTAACATTAAATACACATGTAATAATATTTTGTACTATTAGGGTGTTATTTGTTTCCTTTTTCTTTTCAATGTCTCATTTAAATTTATAAACAAACTTTTTCAAACATTATTTTAACATTATAATGATCGATTAAATATTTTACCTAGAACAAAAACTGTAAAACTGTGTTATAAGTGTAAAATGTGTGTTAATGTTGAGAGTGATACTGACATGAGACAAAAAAGTGAAATGAGATATAAATAAAGATAGATAGATAGATAGATAAAGATAAAAAATATCCGATGGGAAGGTTCGTTACACGTGACGTATACCCACCCTGCCTCGGGTTAATGTATCCGCACGTTTCTATCCTAACGTAGGAGTTGCGAATCGTTCCGCGAGCCTAGCTCGACCTCTATTGGCCTTTCGGTCTTGATCAACTCGCTAATTAGCCGACTTCAAGGAGTAATCGAGTAACCGGCTTTATACTACCCACTCGTACCATTACTATTCTCTGAATCCAGCTTTCTCTCTCGCTTTCCTACTACTTCTAGCTCAGATACAACCGAACTTGTACAATTTGCACAAATTCTCTCTTTTTTTTTTTTTCCTTTCTTTCTCTTGCTTTCTTTATTTTTCTTCTTAGTATATAAAAAAAAAAAGGATTTAACGTAAGATATTTAGAAACAGTTTTCTATAATATCAGAATTAAATATCTTTTAACATAATTAAATATCTTTTGAAATGTGAGATTGTATTGTATTGTAATGAAAATATAAAAATATGTGGGGGCACGGCATTGTGCGTGTTTGTATTTAAAATGTTTGACAATGTTGAATTATTTAGAATTATTATAAAATAATATCATTATTTTATATAAATAAAATTGATACTGAATGAACAAACAAATGTTTAGCGTACTTAATATAATTCGTATTTAAAATATTTGAATGAAAATAAATGTGAAGAAAATAAAAATAGTCGATTGAAATTGAAATAAATTTGAATTATTTTAATATAAAATAAATTTATATTCGATTGATTACTTATAAATATTATTAATACGATTTTCGTGCGATACAACGTAATAATCCAGTTATAACAATCAAGTATATATATATATATATATGAAGTATTTGAATGAATGTTGAATTATTATATATATAAAGGAATATCCAAGGGATTCGATGGTGGTCTTGTTTGTAGGACTTGGAGAATCATCGAAGGATCTCAACTTAGACTTGCAAAACGAAGATCGAAACGCATTATGGTGAAACTTGAAAGCTATTTGCAACAGTATTGGGTAATCTCCGCAACGATATCTTCCTAGAAGTTTTAGAGTCAAAGCAATTTCTGTAACAACTAACACTATGCAAAATTGCCCATAACTTTATTTCTATGTAAT